TACGACACGCAGATAGCATTCCGCTTTGGTGGCGGTGACGTCGGCGGCATCACCACCACTGCTAACAATATGCATGCTTCAGTGATTTTGTTCGCGTAGATTTCCGCTGCAGAGACTCGGATGCCGTTGCGCCGTGAGACCGGTGAACGGTGTAAGGGCGGGTTCGTCGCCGTGTCGTGTACGCGCTCGCATGCCAAAGCGAAAAGGTCGTAGCAAACGCGAAAGCCAAGGGTGGGAGAGGCCGGGAATCTTTTTTTCTTGCGTTTACATATATGCACGCCGTGGGACAGCTGCCCGTCTCTTTATCGATCATAGGAGGCGCGAGAGTGAGGACGAAAGGAGTTTCCAGCGGTGTATTAGAGGCACTGTTTACTCGGGATATACAGACGCGTCGTTCCGAGCCGGCGAAAAGAAAAATCTCGACTCGGAGTTGAAAGATAACGGGCGCGTTTCTCGCTAAAATCGTAACGTCTTTCGATAGATCCTCTCGTAATGATTTCTTCTTTTCGTATCAATGAATGACGGGTACGACATTACGTAGAAATCATGGCTGCAACGAATATCCGAGAGAGAACGAACCGGAGGGACGAGTAATCGCGACGATGCCTCCGTAAAATCAGTCAGCGGAAATACTGCCGTCCTATTTGTGGAAAATTTACATCTCGGAAAATCGATCGACGATTCTATTAGGATATCTGTGACGCGTACACTTTACGGTATTTGCGTTTTCATCGATAGTCAATCGGTACGTTAAGTTGACAAAGGATGTGATAGTCGACAAACAAGCGGGACGCTTTTGTTCCGTTCGAACGTCTTGTAATTGTAATCAAAGAAAGAAACTTGCAGACAAATTTAGAAAGCTTATAATTAGATAAATTTTTTATATATAGAAAGATTATAAAATAAAATGAAGTTTTAGCTTACCAGCTTGAACATGTTGATTGGTTGGGGATAGCTTGTTACTTCTTGGAAGCAAAGACAGCTTATGTCCGTTTCGGCGACTTGGAAGCCTTATATACCGCATGGAATTTTTTAAAATCGCCATAAATTTGATCACGTGACCTGAGGTATCTATATGACGATAGGCGCCAGTTAGTTGAGTCAGCCGATCACTGAACGTGGTGGGATAGCTGGTGGACCAATCGTCTCCACGATACTAGTCTGATCGTCTCACCGGTTCGCCAATAATGTGCTTTCAACCCCTCGCGTCTATTGCGAGAATTGGGTTAAGACACTCCTGTTGTAAGATACGCAGGCAGAACCGATACTGGCGATATCTGACACGAAGCGGATGTGTGAGTGTGTGGGGTAAGTGATACATATGCGGGAAGAAAAATCGCGGACTAGTGTCCGTCGGCAAATGCAAATTTGTTCCATAAAGACGCAGCCAAGGTCTAAATCTACGACCTCTTTTGTATTTTTTCAAACGTCGGATGCTGTGAGAGCATTTATCGATGAAATCTCGAAATGAAGCTAAGTTGAGAACGAACTTTGTTTCTCGAATCCAAGTATTTTTGCAAAAAGCAAGAAATTTCTTTGTAAAAACTTTGCAAGATTTAAAGCTATAATGCAATTCTACAAATTTTAATTAGAGAACCATGGTCAGATGTCAGCTGGATGCAATATTTTAAAATTTTCTTCTCTTGCGCAAACATTTCGCATGATAATCAAGCATCAAGATTTAGAATATTAATAGGATGGCCGTGTGCCAATACTTTGCTAAGTAATTACATAAAATACATATTTGATCTCCTTCTTTTTGATATCTTCCTAGATAATTATGCTTCAGGAGTTATGGAAAACTTCTATTGGAATAAATAAAATTTATATACCGCGTGTTGCATCTACATGGTCAGTATGTCAAAACTATTTTATAAATCCCTCCTTCAGCAAGCATTACATTTATAAAATGTAATTGATTGATTAATTTTATAAATGTAATCGATCGATTAATTTTATAAATGTAGGATCTGCTAGAAAAGATATTACATTTATAAAATAATCTGATATACTGACCAATATTTGATGCGACACGTCGTACATACATATTATATATTTACATTTTATAGAATAAAACTTTAAATGTCGCGCGTTTTCGTTATTCATAATATCATTTCACAATATTACAATATCGTTTCAATATTAATTATCAATCGCAATATTATTTCAATATTCATTTCGAAATTTGACTAAGTAATTATAATAAATATTTGATGCGTTTCCCTAAAATAATTACAGCTGAAGCTTTATGAATCATAAAAAATTTCTATCAAATAAATGAAATTAATATATAATATTTTTACAAAAGAAAAACTTGAAATGTCATTTTTGTTTCTTATAATTTTTAGAGCACTTAGCTAACTTACATCATTCAATGTTCGGCACAGATATAAACATACATACTTCGTATAAATTATTATGAATAAATATCAAGATTTTGATCAATCTAAATAACGTGAGCTTTGATCAAATTGTACTATTCATCTAGTTATTGTTCCTTGCGAATTAAATTATTTCCAGCCGTACTTGAAACCGACGCAGTTGGAAGTTCGACGCAACGGTTCGAGAAATCACGGAGATTAGAATAGTTCCTGTCATTCGCTAAGCGAATCTGAAATTAGAGGAAGAGCAATTTAATTCGCGCAACACCACACATCAGGGAGCAGCAGATTCTAGCCGCAGTAAGAGTCTCCAGAGGTTCTTCGTCCGGAGCGTGAAATGAAACTTTTATCAATGGAAGGTATTGCGTAAATTAACAGCAGATTGAATAACGCGGCGCGATATTATGACTCGAATTACGAACGTGTCGTGAAACAGCGGCACGACAAGTGCGATCAAATATCGCGGGTCAAATCGAGGCAATTTTTAGAGTCTCTTTGATAGGTGTATATGTATATATGTGTGCAGTGCAAAATGATACACTAAAAAAATGTACTAACTTTTAATAAATATCTGTTCAAATAATAATAACAAATAATAATAAACATTTACTTATAGTAAATAAATAAATATTTAGTCAATAAAAAAATGATATTTAAATCAAATTAATGGTTCTTGTATCAAATAAATATATGTTTACATTTAGCAAATATTCAGTTAATACTATATTTAAACAAATATTTATTAAAATTCAGTAAAATTTTTTTCGATGTACAAAAATCGAATGCACTTTTATTTATCATCGGCCGCTAACGTCCTAGATAAATCACAGGCAACATTGAAATAATCCTCTTCAATTTCGCAACGATTCTTATAGCAGTTAGAGATAGAGTTAACCATCAGCGAGAGAACGTTATGAGTGCGTGTGCGTTTTAGATGCAGCAATATCTTACAATACAGACGCACATACATCCCTACGAGAAATCGTAACGAAAATAAGATCTTGTAAAATTTTCAGCATCGAAGCTCCGCTTTTATCCGACATATTGAAAGTTTCCAATAAGGGGAAATAACGCTGCTCGCAAATAGAATATTTCCTCTCATGCGCGAAATTTATTTCGCCAAATAAACGAGCTGGTGTAATTTAGGTTTCGCATAGTTTGCAAAGAATTGCAACAATGGCATTGCAAATTCGATGCGAGGTCCAGTCAATGCGCGATATCCCCTCGGATTTTTCTCGGGTACAGGCTCAGAGGTTTCTCTGCTATTTCTCGTTGCAAGGCATCGTATGGGACAGGAGGAAGATATATTTTCAGCGCTCTTGGTTGCATCGTCGATCACGTGACAAGAGACTGGAAGATACATTTGCGCACGTGGTAGGCGAAAGACAATTTTCCAAGTTTGGCACGGTCCCTCTCACTAAGCAATTCACGGAAGATCGATCGTTTCTGCAGATCCTATAAAACTGTTCCTCGGATTCACGGTAAAAGTCTTATCTTCTAATGTGTGTGAAATTGATATCAGGTTATTATTTTTCAAAAAAATTCAAATACGACCTATAATAAGTTTCGGTTCTCTAACTTATTCTCTCTGATTTTTTTTTCGTTATATTTGTGATTAGAGATAATTTTTTTAGACTGTGGGAGCTTTTAACTCTGGTCTTTTGCACGAGCACCATTCAATTGAACAGGTGCATCTTTATGATACATCGCGTGAATAGACAGTAATAATTTGTACCATGAATGAGATACAAAGGCTACGTTTTATTCTCTCATAAAACGGAAGCGTCACGTAAGGTGCCGCGCATGTATCGTTTGCGTATTAGAGTCAATGTCTGCAAACGTGCGTGATTTTCATATGAAATAAGTTCGATGTGAAAACTATGTATTAGCGACAGTTAATAAATCTTCACTAATGCCGATAATGCGATACGTGTTACGATATATCACGCGACACTAAAACGCATTGTTTCCCCCATTAATACCACATTATATATTACATGATAAATTTTGAGTGTGGGTATAATGTGTGCCCATTACCACGATCAATATACCATAATGAAAACATGTCGATAATATGTGCGTTACACCGCGATCTATAATTATTGTCCATGAGCGCATTGCATTACTGATGAGAGATAAATATGTCACGGTGGAACCCGTTACGGAGCTGCCGCAAGAAAAGCGTTAGATTTCATCAGACATAAGGACAGATTTGTATATTTTTAGTAACCTTACTGTAAGTCCACGTCAAAATAACATAAGAATTCATCAGTATCTTGTGTACATATTTATATGTAATTTTCCATTTAATTTATCCGGTTCGTATAACAGGTTTGTCTGTAAAAACTTGGGGCTTGTCAAATTACTTCGGCAGTATCGATAACGACACGCGCATGGCCACTCAATTATTGAATTTAAGGCAACCTTAATCTTACAATGTCCAAGATTAAAAAAAAATACTAATCGACATATAAACGATATCGCCTTTGATTAGCATACGATCGATCTATCGATCTAGCGCGTCCGTGAAGAGTAGGTATATTAAATACCTTTCCACGTGCACTGCATCCACACACTGTCTCTGTATACAGATATAAAAAGCGGACGAGTAACACTTACCTATCCAGAGAGACCGCAACCAGGCTGTAGACGGAGGCTGCCACGGAGACGCCCTGTATATAAGCAACCGCTTTGCACATGAACCATCCCAGGATCCACGCTGAAACACAAGTCCGTAATTTATTGTTTCGAGTATCACTCTTGGAACTTTGGGCGGCTGCCGAAGGGCTTTTTAGGGACTACTGCGGGAGCGGCCGACTTACGAAGGCCGAACATACTCAGTGTAAAAGCGAGGAACGCTAAGTCTAAGGATACTTGCCAAAGATACTAATTGTATCGTATTATGAACGCGAATAATTATAAAAATCGCAAGTTTGTTTAAGAATGTATATAAAAGTATTCTTTAATAAAATGAAAAAGTTCGAAATTTTTCTATATTGTATTTGAAATATATAAAAAGTTTGGCGGTAACTTAAAATCTGGATAAAAAATTATTTCAATTAGAAGTCGACATGTTTAAAAAAATAATTAAGATGGAATGAGAGAATTTAAACTATAAAATTGTATTGTTAAATATAAATACCTTTAACTTTATTGTCAATTAATTATTTCATGTATATAACATTAATTTTTTACAGAAAATACAAATTTTCAATATGACGTCACTTTTTGCTAAGACTATTAAATTTGATGCATCCCAAATTTTTGTACAATAATCTTACGTACATAGCTTTTACAAAAATTGATCGTTTCAAGAAGCGGGAATTCTATTCGCAATTTTCAACTAATTACACGAACTAATTAACGGAAGTTTGCGGCTCATTGAGTGTATCCTATATTATAATATTATAGTTTGAAGTGAGTTTAAATGGATTATTTGAGGACAATTAGGATGTCGTGATGGCACAAATAATAGAGAGAAAAAATAATATTTATATTTGAAATTAATTAGTACATGCTTGATTGCGTGTGTCAACGTATTTTAATGCCATTAGTGTGAGAAAAATTTACGCTGCTTTATTCCTATTACAAATTAAATAAATAAATAAAATTATTTTCTAACAATCTCGTTAATTTTGAACGAAATAATATCTGAATGATAGTATCATCGTGTAGTAGTTACAACATTATAAATCCGCGAGTGACCTATTTTTCAGAAAAAAGCCAGACAGCGTGTATCAATTTTATTGCCCGTCACTTTTGTATACGCGTGCAACGACTATTATATTCTCTTTCGAGAAGAAAATAATTAATCCCGTATACCCGAAAATGAAGGAAGCTCGAAACAAGAGAATTTTCATCAAGAGACAGAGAGGGAAAATTTTCAGAGCCATCCATCATTGTCTGCAATTGATGATACGATAAATAATTATCTCACATAATACAATATTGAAAGTATTTGGTAGTATAATATGATCGATGGGAAAGTTTATCGCGTTCTCAGAATAATAGGACTACGCAGGGGTGGGAGAGGGGTAGATAGACCCCTCAAAGGAAAGGTCGCTCATAAATATCGAGCGTCTACCTACCGTGTAACATCGCATCAAGAAATTCGAAGTGCAAACAAGGATTATTCTCGATTTCCGCGACTGACTCCATTCCAATCTCTTTGCGATCATCGCTAGTCGACGGTATGCTTGCGACCGGATTTCGCGCTACTGTGTATTTCGCGAACAACCGTGTCGTAAATTCTAACAGTTATGAAATAGTGCTGAACGAAAACGAGACGAATCGTGCTCTCGTCAACTCTCGTGCATGATGCACGACGCCACAAATAATAAATAGCAACGTACAATCGTGGCGGGCGAAAATTGCAGCGGCAGAGTTTTAGTTCAATATTAAGTTAGCGATGAGCCACGAGTGTCTTCTAAATGGCATGTGAATACAGAATTATGTTTTGTAGCACAAATTACCACAAAATAAACACTAAATGGTCCAATAGGTTTTTTTCAATTTTGCTTATTTAGTCCTGCTTGCTTAACAGAAGTGGAGTATAGGGGATGTGTTATTCAGAGGATGCCGAAACGCTCGTTTATCGAATTCGTTCGATGTTCCGCTTGCTCTAATCGTACGACGACACGTTCGGACCGATACAATCCGGCCATGGAGTATTTTGCACGAAGTGAATGGTGTACGTACGAGGTCACATAGAAGGGAACCTCCCGTGCAGATCGCGGCCGTTAAGCCGGTAATTATTTATTCCGTCGAATACGTAATTTCTCGATAAAGCAAGTCCGACTATCGTATTGCATTAATATGCATCCACTAGCGAGAGATAATAGACAATACGAATTGCGCGGGGGAGGGAATGTTAACGCTCGCGGCGGAAAACAGTCATCGGTAATTTCTGTAAACCAAGCCTCATTCGTTTTAATTAATATCAAATAAACTTCAACGAGATTTTCATTTGATGCCTAGACGATTAGGCTGATATTTATAGTTGGTTCTTATATTTCAAGACAGTATTAAGTAAAGACTTAAGATGCTAATACGGCTTACGGCTGATTTACAACATCTTAAAACTGTACATAATCTTACTGACCTGTTTATATTATACGATTATACCATTTAAGTCAACAGGATTTTCAATCAAGAGTTTTTTAAGTTCTAAAAGATAAAAAATAAAAGATTTTCACCGAAAAAAATTTTATATTGATAGATCTTGTATTAATTGACGAAGACGTCAAATGAGAAAAAAGTTTCTAAATAAAATATTAACAAAAAAAAAAAAAAAAAGTGAATTACATTTTGTATCAAGTAGATCAGAGCCAACAGGATTAAGACGATTCTTAAACATAAGAATCAACTATAAATACCAGTCATGTTAACTTTTATAAAATTACAAAAGAATATCCGGATATACGTAAAAATGAATTTTTTTTCTCCATGCATATTCATCGTTTAATTGAAGATTCTACATTCTACTCCACAGAAGTAATTAACTCTCGGACATATAAAACGCTTTTTTCATAATATTGAATCAAATGTAATATCGCGGACCCCAAAGACTCGTGAAGTACACGTGAAAGTTTAAATAAAATTATCAAGCATATAGCTTCTCAAGTAAAGAGATGCTGCACTGGAACAAAATTAAAGAGACCTCGAAAAAGTTCAGATTCAATTCGGCAATTCGATTCTCGGCTCCAAAGCTGAAAAATTCGCCTTTATCGAATACCAGTTCCGTTTCATTCGCCTACTCTTGATTTAAGTTGTAACTTCCGGCTATATAATTTTAGCGAAGGACTTTCGTACGGTGTCAGTTTTAAAACTTATCGATGAAAATACCGTGGTCATTGTCGCGCTAATACGTACGCGCGTCACGGATGACGGAAGTTAGATTTCGCGTCGCAGGAAAACTTTCGCAAAATCCACTCTTTCATGAGGAGGCCCTCTTATTCAGACACTCCAACCGGCGGCTTCCGATGGGACATTCAAAAAGTTTATCGCTGAATAACGCGAGCTCGTATATACGTGACTTGTACGGAATTTCCGAACCATTGTCAGAATGAATGTGTGAGAGTGAACCGTCGATTTGAGATAAAATCAATGTCTTTGTTTCTTCTTTAGAACACTTATCGCTCCAGTCTTTTTACCGTCAGGAAAAGTTTTACGCCGGCGAAAAGGTAGCGGACAACATATTTAAACTTCGGGATACTAAAGTTCGTTAGGATGGCTGATACGTCGCGTCGACGTGAATAACTCATGACGAGATGGAAAAAATAGCCTCGTACTACATAAAGCCGTTTATTGGTCGTCCGTAGGTATGTAATTACATAATCGTCCCGCGGCTTAGTATTTTCCCTTCTGTTCTACGGCGAAAGAAATGTCGATTGCGCCACTTTACAAAGGCTAACGCACGTAGAACCAGTTTCATAACTCCATTGCAACGTGCAATAACGATTGATAATGGTGATAAACGCTCGGCCACCACTTCGTGGAAAACGATTCGAGCATGTGTATTATTTTTATTTATACTTTTTCGTGGCGGGATATTTCTCAATAAAGAGACAAGGCCACTGATAAGGCTTACCAGTAATGCGGCCATTTGCTATTTTTCGTTATTTAAATTAATGCTTTGTCATGTAATAGGCGAACTTGAAAATCTGATAACTGTGGTCAATTGTAACCATAGTAAGTATCTCATTAGTTCAGGCTTTTACTTTTCTATTCGTCTAGCCATTAATAATATGTAATTTTCGTCTCAAAGCTGTCATTTATATTTTATGGTAATGAATAGTTAATCGTGGATATTATGTGTCAGAGTGAAAATTGAGGCAATAACTGGAAAATGGCTTTGGCCTATTTTCATCAGAGCCTTTTTGTGCGCCAGAATATTTCATTTCATTGATTCGATGGATGTTACATGTCAAATTTTTTTTACAAAATTCATATCTTTAACACAAAGAGTGTACACGTGACACTATTTAAAATATTATAGTAAACCAGAAACGTTTAGAAAGTGAATGTGATTGCCTTTTGAACTAACGTCGAATAATAGAACTATTGTTACAAAAAATAAGGACAATTCTCGAACTTTATCGAAAACTCATAATTTCGAACAATTCCTATCAAGTTCGCCCATCAAATTCGTAACTTAGCGGAATATCTCCTATCAACTTTTTTAGTACACTTTTCGTTGCAAGTGAAGCCCTTTTTATGACTATCGTCTCAATTGAAGTCTATTGCGCGATACGAAAAACGATCGCATGTGATGGAAGTTAAGTTAATCTCAGAAACGCACAATGTCATGCATTAACGACCCTTTTTCCGCGGTGGCCTTCGTCGCCGGTATAAAAGAGAAAAAAAATCATCGCTTTTAATTGTCCACTATGGAAACAAGGTCCGACTAATCGACCGGTAGTAGCGAATTATCCCAAAGTCACGTTCACGATTTTAAATGTCAAATTTTTACAATCACGCCGCCTGCGCGTGTATATTATGTATCATATACGTATAGATGCAATAGACACATGCAATGCCGTCTCTGCATATTACTTTCACTGTCTACGCTCGATTGGATAAGCTGCTGGCCAGATATAATCTATATACGCACCGTCGGCGTGGCTATGACCCCACACGATCCACACTACATCGCATAAGTACAGTGCACTATTCGCTTACAATTAATGAAAACGGAAAGAAGAGCCTACGGTTTTTGTA